TGCTCGATATTTCTGGACAGTCGCTCTTAATAACATATGAGGTCGGGAAATATGATATTTGAAATTATTATTAAACAAAAGGCTTAAAAAGATGTTAAAAATAATACAATGAAATAATAGGTAAAACTAAAAAGAAAAGACGACATCCATTAATTAAACCAACTAAAGCATGCGAGAGATATTGCACGTTTCATCATTTAACTATATCCGTTTTGAAATCACTGGCGATTTCTGCAATCTGATTGACTCTCAGCACTGCGATTTTTTACTCACGAATTGCACCTTTTTGAATTTTAAATTGCACTCTTTGAAGAGCCAATGAAATTACAGAAAGCAAAGCATTTGACCAATCAGATCATAGAAAAAAAGAAGCCCCCTCCTCCCAAAAAAGAGAGTGAGAAAAAAAAAATTAAGGAACTTCTAGGTGATAGAACGGTTTTTTGACTAAATTTTACATTAAAATTGAATTTTAAATCTGGTTTATATTATTGCAGAAGATTTCAAAACGGATGTAATTAAGTGGTAATTAAACTTTCGTCCTGTCGTGCAATTTTGTAAAAACACTAAACACAATTACTCTATTCTGATTGGACAAAAGGAGTACAAGTAAATGTACTATGTAGAGTCCTTGTAAATTGCTCAATTTTGTTGAGTGTATCATAAACAAAAAATCGTACAATCTTCTCGTACAATTGATAGACACTCGTGATGTTTGAAAGTTCTCAAATTAGAATCGCCTAAAGACTCACACCCAATTTTAAAAACTTTCAAAACATCACTCGTACCTATCAATTCCGAATTGAATTCGAGATGATTTTTTAATTAAAGCAATTTTTTAATTCAAAAATTGCACACCTGGAGGTCGTTTTGATTTCAGAAATAGCACCGTCCAATCAGTTCAATTCAACTATCAATGAACATTGCATGATTGTTGCTAAATTAATCAATTGTTGAACATAAAAAAAAGCTATGGTATAAGAAATAGATGTGTAGAGTGTAATGAGGGTGTAGTGACCGGATACTGCACGGTACTGCACGGCACGGCATGGCACGGCACGGCACGGCACGGCATGACATGACATGGCTAGTCGAATTCAATTTTTTAGTGCTCTCTTTTGTTTCGCTCGCTTTGAATAAAATTTACATGACGTGTAAACACTAGCAGACTTCACTATTTTGTAAGCATAGTGAGACAGCTTGGCTCTCAATGCGAATGAAAATTAATAAATGTAAACTGAAAATAAGAATAATAAGAATAAAATATTTATCATGAAGAACATGCCTGATATGATGCCGTATCAGCAGTCCTCATCTGCTCGCGCTGGGTAGGATAGAGTTTAGAGGGAGTTTGAGCATTTCTTTGCAGAATTAAATGATAAACAACTTATCAGTAGGTTAAGCATCTGATACGGCTTTGCATTATTGTGCGTCACTTGTACCTCTATATATCAAATGAAATATGATATAAAAAATATACATCAAAATACTAAGAGACAGAGTGTTCTTAAGAAATAACTGTATCCCTTATTTTGATGTTATTTATGCAAGATTTGGATCCCCTGTTTTCACGGTAATGGTTGGGCCATCATTTGAAGGCGATTGTTCATTAACCCTCATCAACTCTAGTTCTCCTGTCGCTTCATTTGCACATACTTCAAGGTGACTCTTGAAAGAACTTTTGGCAAAGGTATTGGAGCATGATAAACACTTCTTGGGTCTTTCATCTCCACAAAACTCTGCTATCTCAATCACCCCCAGGACGATTGCCAAAGCATTCTTTGCTAGTAAAACTGAAATGTCCAGGTGGTACGAATGCCATAATATTAGACGAATGACCAGAAATGGTACATTAACAAAAAATAAAAAGGAACAGATGTAAAAGATCTTGAAAGACAAAGGAGACACTTGACCGTTGGCGTGAAATTTATTGTGCTTCAAYTCGTAGAGAGCGAAAACTGGCAGGAAGAAATTTATGCACGAGAATATCAAAATGGCTATGTTCACTGAATCAGGGACTGCATCCTTTTCGAACAAGTACTCGAGCATTTCAACGCTGTCGAATAAATCGAGAGTAACGGCGCCGGAAAGTTTTTCCAAGTAGAATTTTCTGGATGTGCGGGGTTTGGAGTCGTGGTGAGCGAAGAGAAGGAAAAGAAACAACGCTGGAGTTATACAAAGGCACATCTTTAGCATATTCGGACCAAAGACCATTGTTTTTTCGTCAAGCTTACTTGCCTTTGTTCTAAAAAGCGTGGCGACCTGAGGAACAAGATGTAATGCATACACAAGCCAAGCAATGTAGGCAAAAGCAAGTTCATCGTTGAAAAATCCAACCCCTTGATCTAAACTGTATCTTTGTTTTCGGCTGCTTAGACGACGATACGATATTAGCATAGCTGCAATCCACGTCGCCAGAACCACTCCATCGGTTAAAAGCCATGCAAACCATCGAGAACTCTCTCCTTGGATCAAATAATAATCAATAATTGCTCCTTGGAACACAAGCAAAAGGACACCCAGAATTCTTGCAACATGACGACGCCAGATTGCTGTGTTCTTGCCCATATTTATGTGACTTGTTCAATACAGGAGATTATAGATTTACAACTGCTGGAAAGCGTGAACGAATTGAGCTGTTGACAGTTTTGGCTTTTGTTATTCATTGACAGAGTATATATCAATCAAGATGATTATATGAGCTCCAATCGAAATGGTTTAGTAATTTGAATACCAAATTACGAGCTTTGATAAAAGCAACGGAAATAGCGTTTGGATTGGCTAATAATTTGTCATTGATTTGTGTTTGTTGATTCTTTGACGTCATATTATATGGACCCCTGTCAAGTTTGGTGGATTGAATGTATATCCAGAAACAATACAGTATTATGTTCGAAGAAAGAACTAAAATATTAAAGTAACAGTAACAGACTTGAAGTTATGCTATTAGCTAGATAGCTAGATAGTTTTATCAGCACATTAAAACCAATTATAAAATCATTATGAAAAGATATGATATTGATCGGCCAGATTGATAGTGTTTTAGTGTGCAGTTTAAAATAATGTTGTCATCCAGATCGGACGTCGTCTCAGGTGAATGGTAAGTGTTGTAACAATAAAAAAATAGAATGAAAAATAAAAATAAAAATAAATTGAAACCAAATATAATGTATACACAGATTTATGCTGGACGCCGGGCAATGTTATCCGTTCACCGGAAGGCTGATAATGATATTTTTGAGAATCATTTACCAGCTATACTGTTATTGACACATCTCCAGGTGCTGCTCCATCTGACGGTTCTCCCGAGTTAAGCGATTGATAAAGCGGAAAAGAATTATTTTTAAGAAGATCTTGGTAGATATCAAGATCCCGAGATTGAAGGTCAGTTCTTTCTACTTGCCGTGGCGTTACCGGAAATAACTCTAAGCTATTGGAGTATTCAGGATGTCGATCACTTTGTTCCGGTGAGGTGCGTGCTACAGGTACAGTTCTTGGGTTATTGGTATGGACTGGATTGGCATTCTCACGACATTGTGACATTGTGGCACCTGCAACGTAGTCATATGTATCAGTTTCCTCGTAGGTACCTTCCTGGACAGCTGATGTTGGTCTTGGGTTTGGAATCCTGGTGGCGGATCCCTCTTGTGAAGACGACATCGAATCAACGATAATATTTCCATTTGAACTGTCATTTCTACAAATAAATGTTAAAGAAACAAACATGTATACCAAAAACAAGCAAATGTGTATATTGCCGAGAAGAGAATCACTGTACCTCGTGTCTTGTTTTCTTTGTAAAATTTTAACTAAATTAAGAAAAGAGCATGCGTAAATATTATTGTCTGTCGTGTGATCACACAGACCCACTAAGGTCTAGTCATTTGATATAAACTGGAAATATATAATCAATCAAGCAGATGTGTACATCTATCGTATTTTTCATATTAAAATACTCACCTTCCTTCTGTCGTTTAAGGCAAATATAAGCAACTAGGACTGCGACTGCCAATACTAACAGCACAACAATTACAGCGAGACCAGTTACCGTAGATTTGCCTGGAATGCCATTATCAGATTCGTTAGTAAGTGGGAAATGTGCAAGTACAAGCTTCAGTATTTATATACGTTTCATATGGACAATAGCTCTAATCACTGATTTCCAACTTCATATCACTTGCCATTCCCGTTAAGTATTCTATTTGGAGTACTTACTGCATTCTCTTGCAATTGATCGTTGATCCCCTAAAAATACAGGAATAAAGCAGGAATATTTACATTTATTCGTTTTGTAGGCGTTAAATTTTGGAACTCAGTTCGAGATGACTTTAAACTGAAGAGTCGTAATGGTTTCAAGGGGCTCTTAAAAGATTCTGCTATAAACAGCTATCAAACTTATAGCTAATGATGCTCTTTAATTTATGCCCTTCTTCTTTTTATTTATTTATTTATTTATTTATTTATTTATTTATTTATTTATTTATTTATTTATTTATTTATTTATTTATTTATTTATTTATGTTTAAAAGACTATTAGGATTTTTTTTTTGTGCCGGTGTGTGTTTGTGTTTGCAGTTTTTTTTTTTTTTTTATCGGGCCGTTACGTTTGGCCTATAGCACTTAGTTCGATTAGCTCTCTCTGCTATTTCTAAGTGGCTTGTGATAATCTCCTGCAATTATCTTATGATTTATATAGCGCCGTTTCTATGTAGATAGCATCAAAGGCACTTTACATTGAGTTGTGAACGTCAGATTATTTTTTATGCAATTTACAAACATGAGATGGTTAGCATAAGGTGTAGGCACTGAGGGTGGTCACTGTCAGGTGTTTTTACTTCCTTAGTGGTTCTTGTACGTGGCCCTCCAATATAAAGTGTGGAGAGCCCGGCATTCGAAAGTCTAACAATTTGCAGATGCAATTACAAAGGCAGCACTTTCTCATCATTTATTTTAAGACCCTGAGCGTTGGTCCGGCCGGGACTGGAACCCCGAACTCCTGCACGAAAGTCCGATGCTCAACCAACTGAGCCTATCTAATGATCCGAGTGCTTAGAAAGATGTTTTTGTTGTAAACAGTTAAATATGGAAACTAAGTGTTGAAAGTAAAAAAGAAACGAAAGGGAGGAGGAACGTACAAATGAATAATTGAAAGAGGGAACAAACGAACTGAGGAATCGGTAGATGGATAGGTGGAGGAATTGCTTAGTAATTGAATGAGGGAGTGATTTATCTCGACAGACAATATGCAATAGCTTAACAACTTACAATTGACAATAACATGTCGTTTTTGCTGTGACAGGCATCTCGTTTGGGTTGTTGTTTACTTGACATTCAAATGTCCCATTCTGGTCCCTTTTGATCTTGGGTATACTCAAAGAAGCTTTTCCTAGACCTTGACTTTTTAACACCCTCGCGGCACCTAAGTTCTGATACCACGTAACCATGGGTACTGGAGGTCCCTGTGCTTCACATTGTATGTAAAGATCCTGACCTTCATTGATGTACATCACTAGTGGTGGGCGAATAGTGAACTGAGGGTGAGCTATGTATACATTTAGAGAGAAAAACAGTCGTAAGAAATTGATACAATTAATAAATATTGGCGGGCAAATACCCTATCAGACATGTCAGAGCTCGGAAACCTTACAAAAATGAAAAGATACACAAATAAATTTGTACGTATATACCTATTTACATCAATTATTGGAAAATATTGTTTGATATAATTTGTTGTTTGAAATTACCTGTAACCACGAGTCTCACTAAAGTAGTAGTCGTTAAATTCTTCATCCGAATCGTGCAACCATATTGCCCAYCGTCAGCTCTTGTCACAATGAAAATAAAGAACGTTGCAGGGTTGGCTTTACTCACTCGAGTAGGGTTTTGTAACCTTTTTGGACAAGTCGAGCTCAACTTGAATTCCCAGTTGGAATTTGCATGTGCAGTAGCAATCTCTGTTCGTGAACCATTTTTGCTATAAAAATCCCACTGAAGGGACAAAGAATTTTGATCCTCTTTCTTCTTCGGATGTTCATATTCCCAGACAAGTTTGGCATTACCACCTTCCACAACATGCAGGACACTGGAAGGAATTTTAGTGAATTTTGGTGCTCCTTGTCGAATCAATCAGAAATAAAACATAGGTTTAGTGACAAACTAAAAATAGCCTAACCCTCTTATATTATGCTCTCTTGATAAGATTCTAAATAATAATGATATTATAAATATTAGTAGATAAGATAAATAATGTTGACATGTCTAGCTAACATTGAAAAATATTAAGTCTAGAAAGTAGGAAAAATTGCATCAAGTTAGCAACATCATAAATATGTGAATCCTTACCTCTTGAGATTTTGTGAATTATTTCTTCTGCCAACAAATAGCTAACACCACCAGATGGAACGTGAATGACGTTTTCTTTAATGACCGTATAATCAAACAGTCCATGCAAAGTAACCTGTGAACCTATACCGACTGCAACTATAGAAGCATTGATTTGATCGAGACCCATCCTTGCTTTTTCCAGTTCCGATGGACTATTACTTGATTGTTTATCCGTGATGACTACTAGTACCTTCCTTGCTTCTTTTCTCGTTGGTTTTGTTGTGAAAATGTCCCGTGCCTGATCAAACGCAAGTTTGTCATTAGCTTGCGTCGCTAGGTCATATCTTTTTATGTTCATAATTGCATCCAGGATAGATTGTTTGTTTGGTAAGATGCTTCCAAAGTCAAAAGCAGTGTCAATATCACTTCCATAGACGATGACACTGTAGTGGAATCGGTAGATGCCATATCGCATGACAATTTGACGAATGATGTTCGTCGTCAAGGTCGTCGTTTGGTCAATATTACCAGACAGTGAAACTGCAAAGACAAAGTCGATTTTTTGAACTCCATCTGAAAAGAAACAAGGCAGCACAACATAAGCTAGGGCTGTTGAGAAAGTTCTTCAGAATTACATCTGACTCGGATCATTATCCGAGTATGCTCAACATTCAGCTTGAAAATAGCAGCAGTAAGGGGGACTCGCGGTCACCATTCGGAATCGCCCGGGAATTACCCGTGTTTATGCACTAGCGTCCCCCGCGGGAATTACCCGTGTCCCGTTATATGTTGCGCGCTGAGCCCCTTACTGCTGCTGTGTTGGGGATTAAAGGTAGCCGAAACGATGGGCAAGGTCGCAAACGGAGGATAAAATATTCCTTAGATATAGATGGACACCATCA